TAAATTGGCTATAATCTTTATAGGGTGCTGAAGACATTAAAAGAATAGAAAATTTGGTATTTTACTTCACTATCAGGTGTTCAGGAAAAAGACATACAAAATGTGGTGGACAAATAACCCCAGCTTCTACTAGTCATCTACACAGGAACTTCCTGAACTAGAGATTATTTGTACCACTGTGGTTTAGAATCATTGATGGACCACTTTTTTTTTTTTTTTTTACAGTATCTCAGCTCTGATAAAATCATTTTATGCATGTGGTAGTGAATGCCACAGTTTTGTATGTGTTTTAAGAAATATTTCCATTTATGTTTAGCTGATCTACTGTTAAGTGCTTTCTATGTCTTCTGCTATGAAAAGTAACAAACTTGCCTTACTATGCATTGCCAAAACACTCATGATTTTACTGACCTTCAAAACAACCCTCCACTTTCCTTTCCTTTCTTTCTTTCTCTTTTTCTTTCTTTCTTTCTTTCCAAGCTGAAGAGTTTTCACCTATTTTGTCTTGGAAGGCCAGGGTAGATAACTCCTTTTCTCTCCTTGGACTACTCCTACTTTGTGACATTCTCCAAGTAAATGAAGGACCAGTCATGAGTCTGGAGTTGACATCAAGAATTTAGTATCTCATGATGGTTTAATTTTTAGACAGAAAAAGAAGCTGCTAATGGCTGCATTTATCCCTTGTGTTCAGACCAACAATTACAGGACATGTTTTCTTGATAAGATCATGTAGGCTTGTACGTCACAAGTCTTCAAGGGGTGAAAAATGAAGCAGGTTCTCTGTGTTGTCAGCATTCAAAAATCTAGTTCAAACCAGACAGCTGCAAAATATTACTTAACTTTAAAAAAATTATTTCTTCCTTAAGAAAATAAAATTAGCAAGAAGCTGCATAGTTAACCCTGTTCAGCAACTACGTTTGCCTAATTGCCACACTTACAGCATTCACAGAAATAAACAGAGTGCACAATGTAGTTCTCATCTCCATTTTTGTGTTTGGCCTGAAACCTTAACAAATGAATGCTTGTTAACTCCAGCACTTCAGTAATTCCATTTATACTGATCCTCATGCCCTTGATGGCGTAAAAATGACAAAAAGTAGTCTTGAATTTCAAAGTTGTGGGCTAAGCATCCAACCAGTGCTTCTGCACAATCACATATAAAACTTCAGATAGCACAAGCACTGAGCACAGCAGTTTCTCCAAAGTTAGATTTAATTGGTCACTGAATATACAACAAATAGCCACAAGATAGACTAGTAAGCCACTGTAAACACACATTCTCAAGGCTGTTCTTCAGCAACTAGCATTAACATATCACATACAGTGGCAGAGATCACATTCTGATGCTGTCAAAGCCTGCAAGAAAAAAAACACCTGATTTTGACTACGTAGAAGATGACAAAATGTGAAACGAACACAGAAAACTATCTGTAATATCTTTCGCCTTCACCAGCGTGCTGGAAAAAAGGACTCATTTCTCAAAAGCCAGAACACAATCCTCATACGTCAAGCTGATAAGAGTTACTGCTTTAACAGTATGACATGCTCCAACAAGGGGAAAGTGATCCTAGCAAGAACTTGACAGAGAAAACATGAGACAGATGTTTTCAAGTTCCGTGTCTAATGCTCTGCACTTTAATTGATTTGAGCATCTACTCTAAATATAAAAACATGTCTTTAAAAGTTTGTGTAAGTGGAGAAGAAAAACAAAGTTATCGGAAAAATGCAAGCCAGACTATGACATTTTGCTGTTTCTACAGGAAGTCTGCCTTTCTGGGCTTGCTGCAAAAGAAATTTCCAAACTCCTGGTTAGTGTCATGTATGTAGTTATAATGTCAAGTTCTAACACCAGAAAGATCAGAAAACAGAAATGCTCAAATGAGGAAGGCCAATAGAACTT